TGTATACTTGGAATTTTTTATTTTTCATTAGAATTAAGTAATAATATAAATGACTATGTGAATGTTTTTTGTAATAAAAAAAGATAATGAAAATAGATCAAGAAAATAATAAATTTAAATCATATTTAGCTGATTATCCTATTTAAAAGTATTATAAAAATAATAAGTTATTTATTTATAATTATAATAATATATATACTTATAGTACTTTACCTAATAACTCTTTAAATAATATACCTTTTATAAAGGTATATAAAAATGCCTTTAAAGTAAGAAAGAACATATATAAAGAGAACCTAGATAAATTAAGAATTTATATGTTTATTAATAAATTAACGAATAATATTTATATAGGATAATCTATAAATTTAGCTAATAGATTTAAAAACTATTTTAACCTTAGTTATTTAAAGTATAAAGATAATTTAGTGATTTTAAGAGCATTAATTAAATATAGTTTATTTAATTTTTCTATTACAATTTTAGAATATTATAAAATACTAGATTTAGTTACTAGAGAATAGTACTATTTTAACTTATTATAACCTAAGTATAATACATTAAAAATAGTAGGTAGTTCTCTTAATTATAAATATACTAAAGAAACTAAAAATAAAATTAATACTTCTTTAAAAGGATTTTATGTGTGCGTAAGCTATGAAAAATCAGCTTTATTCGGTTATATTACTTTAAATGAAACTAAAACATTAATAAGTATTAAAAAATTAAAGGAAAATAATCCTTTATTTAGTAAAACTTATAAGAAATCTACTATTAAACTAATAAGATAAAAAGCTATTAGTAGAACTCTTACTAAGGAAACTAAATTAAAAATAAGTTTAATTAAAGGTAATTCTATATATATATATGAAAAATGTTTATTAAAAGGATTTAAATTAATAGGTAGTTTTATTTCTACTAGAAGAGTAGGTAAATTCTTAAATATAAGCGATAGTATTATTATAAAATATAGGAACTTAAGAGAAATATATAAAGATAAATATAAATTTTTTACGTAATATTAAACTTATTAAAAAAAATTAAAATAACTATAAATAAAATTCTATTATATACTAGAAACTCCTAAAGCCTTAAGTACTTTATAATAGG